AATCTTTTACGTTAATTTATTCCATGTTTCTGACTGTTGACAACTCCATGCCCGTATGAAAAACTGTTGACTTGTTTCGTTTTGTTACGCATCTAATCAATCTTCCGCCGACAATCAATCAATCCCTGACGTACATATTGTTGAGTAACTAGCGACCAGCATTTTTGATAATCAATAAATTTCCCATAATGCTCTCTTCACTTTTGCTGGGGCAATGTTAGCGGGATGTAGTTGTTTGGCTTCTACGAAAGTGTGTGTCTCGGTTTTTCTCCCGTCTATAAAACGATATTCAAAACAAAACGGCGGATAAATGTACAGCAGTTCAACAACGTGGTTTACGCATTTCAGCAAGGAAGTGATTTATTTTGAGCATCATCATATGTTAATGTAACTCTGTAGTAATGCACCTGAAGAAATACAGCGAAATATGCCACACATTAAATTGTGCAATGTTTAGTTTGTGTCCGCATTATTTAAATAAAACAATTTGTTTTCCAGGTGTTTTCAGTTTAAAATTTGTGGATGTCAAATACAGGCATTATTGTTATAACATGCATTTCTTAATTTGGGCTTTAGAAAAGTAGGTCGTATTTTGCATGAAAAAGTCTTCTTCTTCTTCTTCTTCTTCTTCTTCTTCTTCTTCTTCTTCTTCTTCTTCTTCTTCTTCTTCTTCTTCTTCTTCTTCTTCTTCTTTTTCTTCTTCTTTTTCTTCTTCTTCTTCTTCTTCTTCTTCTTTTTTTTCTTCTTCTTTTTCTTCTTCTTTTTCTTCTTCTTTTTCTTCTTCTTCCTCTTCTTCTTCTTCTTCTTTTTCTTCTTCTTCTTCTTTTTCTTCTTCTTCTTCTTTTTCTTCTTCTTCTTCTTCTTTTTTTCTTCTTCTTCTTTTTCTTCTTCTTCTTCTTTTTCTTCTTCTTCTTCTTCTTTTTCTTCTTCTCCTCCTCCTACTTATCCGTTTTCTCCTGCTTATTCTTCTTCTTTCTTCATTTTCTTCTTCATCTTCTTTTTCTTCTTTTACTTCTTCTCTTCTTCTCCTCCTCTTTTTTCTGCACCTCCTCCTCTTCCTTCTTCTTCTTCTTCTTCTTCTTCTTCTTCTTCTTCTTCTTCTTCTTCTTCTTCTTCTTCTTCTTCTTCTTCTTTTTCTTCTTCTTCTTTTTTTTTCTTTTTTTCTTCTTCATATCTTCTCCTCCTCCTTCTTCTTCACCTCCTTCTCCTGCTTCTTCATCTTGTTTTTCTTCTCCTCCTCCTACTCTACCGCCTCCTCCAGTTCTGTTTTACCTCTCAGCTGGTATTTTCTGTTTCGGATGTTCTATCTATCCATCGCTTTCATGGTCGACCTCTGAATCTGATTCCATTATATCTAAGTGACATAGCTTTGTGGTGACCTATCTGGTGGTAATCTTGACACGTGGCCGAATCGTCTGTTGTCGCTTGATGTAGTTTAGTGCTGGTGCCGTCCCAACTTCTTTCATGATGTCATTTCTGTTCCTGTCTTTTTAGCTGCTTACATTTAGGATTCGACGTAGACATTTCCTTTCTGTGGCTTCGATTTTTATTTCCTTGAAAGTCTGCAAGAAAAATACGGTATAAATTGTCATAACCTGTGTCACATCTATATACTTATCGTCTAAATTGTCGACTCTTAAGTTTAAAGTGATTTCTATTGCTGCTTTTCTGCGCATGGAAGTGATAGCAAGGACTGAACTTTTGTGTGATATCTTCTAGGGTGGATGTTTACCCGATAGACTTTTCGAGACATGTGTTTTTGTATTAGTTGTGTGTGTGTGTGTGTGTATGGGTGTATGGGTGTGTGGATGTGTGTGTTTGTGTGTGTGTATTCAAAATTGGATAATTACTTGACGATCTCTTGAAATATAATTGCACGTCCTATTTTTGTCCAACATCTACAACAGTGGTGCAATACCACACCAGATAATGGTTTGAAATGGGTTATCATAGTTCCACCAGATTAACCTATTTCTTTGTGTCATGAAAAATTCTACTGGTAATCTGCGACGCCAAGCAGCACAAAGAAGAATGTAGACAGACGAAAGACAATACCAGTTCATGAAGGTCCCTGGTACTGTTTCTTCGATGACCATATCACTGTTTTATACATACTTCCGGTCGAAATGGACGTTAGGCAGCGGCACTGTTCGAAACAGAGGCAAATTATTTTCCATTCTTGTTCCATTTGTAGACTGGATATAGTTTCGTCGCCCAGCTTCTGAGTTGAATGCATGGCGTGACCCTGTGAGCTGCGCATTGCATGTGGAATGTTTTTTTCGAATGTGACCAACGTGTTGGTGTGAATTGTAGATTCAGAAAATGGCGCGATGCTTGTCGTGCAGTGTTGTGGTGCCCGTATGTGATTAAAATTTATCGCGTGGGCAACTGCTTATCTGTTGGCGACTTCTGCTACCATCAATGATAAACTGCAATTCTAATACTATGATAAACATTCTGTGTGTTTTTCGTTGGTACATGAGCGGAGCAAAGATGGGGTGACCCGTTTGCTATAAAGCTGAAACTAAGACTACCAGACTACCAGACTACCAGACTGTATTATACATAAAATATCAGAACACTGTTGTAATGTATATGTAAGTAAAGGTCACCTTTTCCACCTTTATGTATACTGGGCATATAGGGCATATCTACTTTAGAATATAAAGAAAAGCAAAGGACCTTTTCCCCACCTTCAGGCGTATTGGGTATTCAGGTCTAGACATACTGTATAGACCCGTCGGCACTCGTTGGGTGAAATGGTTCAATCATGTTGTTAACAGCCTTTAAACGGCTTTTACTTCCCCGGACATTTCCTGGTACCCTTTTAAGGCTAGGTTCACGTTGGAGCCAAGACAAAAACCGTCCGGCTCCGTCAAGATCTGAACCCACGACTTTCAGTCCGCAGGCGAGCGTTTAGCCGCTTCACCACAGCGGCTCCTGAAAAAAATGTAAAGATGAAAAATAACAGAAAGTGATTATCTAAGACACACAAAGTAACGTATCTTTGTCTGTTCTTTTGTTTCAGGTGACGAACTTCTAACACAGAAGGAAGATAACACCGTCGATTACACACCACCATATCTACAATCAATTGCCCAAGCACGGAAAAGTACCTCGATTATATTCTCTGACTTCCTCATTTTCCCCTTTTGGGATATCCACCCCAAATTCCGTTTCATATCAACAAAAGACCCCTACTTCCATTTCATATCAACAGTTCACCCCAACTTCCGTTTCATATCAACAATTCCCCCCCCCCCCCCCCCCCTTCCCCCCCCCCCTAATTTGGACAATATTACAAGTAATCTTCAGTTATATACTTTACATTTTTATTCCCTTGGTTTTGAATCAGCTTTTTTGAATGTATTTTCCCCTTTGTAAATTATACTATTGAGTAATGTACGGATTATCTAATCGCTACATACCCGGCAACACCGGACTGCAAACATAAAAACTGTTTTATTGTGACCCTTTATGAATGGGCTATACGACTGAGCCCATTTTCTGTGATGTGTGTCTGTTTTATTTCCCATTCCTAAATGGTATTTATTGCACTTCTGGAGGGGAACACTCGAAAACAAACATAAGAAAAATAAATTACAAAATTGTTTATATTTCTTCAAGGGAGTCGCCGTGGCGTAGCGGCTAGATGCTCGCATGTGGGTCGGAAGGTCGTGGGTTCAGAAATGACCTTGACTCCAAGGTTGACCCAGCTTTGAGTAGGTACAAGGTGCAGTCCTGGGAAGTAAAGGCGGCCGGCGTGATGCTGACCACCTTACCCATCTTGTTGGTCTATAAAATATAGGTCTAGTCTTGTATACTTAATATGCCTGAAAGGCGTAGAAAAGGGTCTTTTATATTTATTTACACATTTCTTTAAAGAGGGCTATAGGTTCGACGCCAGTTCTATAGTTCGTGCTTTGTGCGTGGCTTTTGACAGGAGGTAGCCATTCTGCAAAGCAAGAGAGAGAAAGAGGGAGAGAGGAGAATCAACAATTTATTTTTTAAAGGTTTAAGAATTAGGCACACAGGCCCGGCCCGTCTTACAACGAGGCTGAGCTGTATGGGATAAGCCACTGTGCAATGAAGTCGATCCCGTCGATTTCAACTTTAGATCAAACAGAACTCAACTGGCGATGGTTTCTACTTCATATGATGTCCTTCAGACTTTCAGATGACCTTCTGTACAACGGGAACACATTTTACTTGTTTATTTTCTATCTGTTTCTAGAGTGTTTCTGGGGTATATTGACACTTTACCCCTCTTTCTCCGCCTCCTTCTCTTCTTTTTTTCTTCTTCTTCTTCTTCTTGTTCTTCTTCTTCTTCTTCTTCTTCTTCTTCTTCTTCTTCTTTTTCTTCTTCTTCTTCTTCTTCTTCTTCTTCTTCTTCTTCTTCTTCTTCTTCTTCTTCTTCTTCTTCTTCTTCTTCTTCTTCTTCTTCTTCTTCTTCTTCTTCTTCTTCTTCTTCTTCTTCTTCTTCTTCTTCTTCTTCTTCTTCTTCTTCTTCTTCTTCTTCTTCGTTCTTCTTTCTTTTTAATTTGCTGCTGCTGCTACTCTTTCACCTTCTTTAACGATCTCCGGTTATCCTCTTATCCACTATTTATCACAAACAAGGATGTTAGCTCGAGTTCTTGTTGCTGTGGCCTACGTGCACCCCCCCCCCCCCCCCATATTTTCCACTTTGCTAGCGACACTAATCATACAAGATTTCAGTAATCGACAATGATATTTAACATGGTCATCATTTATCTGTGAATTACGTTCAGTGATTGTATATTTGCATCAGTTATTATTATACAAAGTTAATATGCCGATATTGTTTGTACCGTGCATGAAATCATTATTCGCTCAACAAGCAAGGGGAAGATAATTCCCAAAACACTTCCTGCAGGATTACTAACTCCCCGGGTGTACAGAAATCCGTGCTAAAATTCAAGGATTAGTCAACAGAACGGTCAGTGGGATTAATGAATCCTGTCAAACATTTCCGACCAGCCATGGCAAACAGCGTGGCGGCGAGAGTGGCGCCACTGCATCATCATAATTCTGAAAGCGCTATACATCGGGTTCAGAGTACCAGCGTGCTGCGAATCCCGACCCAGAGAAAGAGCTTCTGGCAAAGGTGAGGTGACTATCTCTCTTCCTCTCTCTTCCTGGTCCTGTAATTTCATGAATGGTTTGTTGTATCTGTTTGTGCTGTTTGTATTAATGACAGGAATGATGACGAGGAGAGTTTTCTAACATATGTTGATAATGTTCATACACCAAAAATTTATTTTTGAGTGTTGCCGAGATTTTATCATTATTATTATTATTATTATTATTATTATTATTATTATTATTAATTTTATCGTTATGATCCAACTTCACAGGAAGATGAAAATGGGGCACAAAACAGCGAAATACCTTTGTATTGGCACAGTTTCTAAATAGCGTAGTTAATAATCTGATGGCTCTCCGTATGGGTTTCACGGCTCTATTATAGGGAAAACAAGAATAGACCCACTTTCTACCCAAAAGCATGTCGTAAGAGTCGACTAAATTGGAGCTTCCTTCGAAGTCGGAGTGCATATGCTTGAGAGGCAAGGAACCAGCAGTTGCATACAAATGAGCCAGATCTGTCAAACAGATGCACGCGCAACTCTCGGGTTCTGGAGAAGGACTGCAGTCTTAAAGTGGATAAACAGCCAGAACTTTCCCGCAGAGTTTCCAGCTGGTTAACACAAAGAAGAAGAAGAAGAAGAAGAAGAAGAAGAAGAAGAAGAAGAAGAAGAAGAAGAAGAAGAAGAAGAAGAAGAAGAAGAAGAAGAAGAAGAAGAAGAACGAAGAACGAAGAACGAAGAAGCAAGAAGAAGCAGAATTTAATTGCTTACGAGAATGTTGGTCGGGGTTCACTTCCACAGTAACGTTAGATTCGTTTGGACCATTCGTCGATGTAGCCTCACAGAATAGACATCGAACGTTTTCAGAACTGTTTTGTTTTGTTGGTGCGGACAAGACAGAGGGTTGTGTAATTAATTATAATACTTATCCTAACTTTTTTCTTTCTTTTCTGCTGCTCCTTCTTCTTTTTCTCCATCTACTTCTGCTCGTTCTCCCCCATCGTCCTATCCCGTAGACTTCTACTTTTTTTTTTTTTTTTTTTCGTATTTTTCCGCCTGTTTTTCTGTTTTCTTATCTCTCATCTTTATTATATACTGTCACACTTTGAATTTCAAACCACACCCTGGCTTCATCCGGGGGCCCTGAATATAGCCGTGCCATAAATATGGCCTAACGACTAAAAGGGGTCCATAACCTCTCCTCGGATGATCTTCATTGGCATGATGGCACTTTGTGTCACCGGGTGTTTATCGCCTGAATGATGTGCTGGTGGGGTACAACAACCTACCCACCTACCCACCTACCCACCTACATACCTTAGTTAATAGTCAAGGGAAACAATAATCAGAAATCCACTAAAACGATTCTCACAGTTATTGCCCCTTACTGTAACAAACTATTTTGTCTAAGTTTTCAGAGATCCCAAGGTAGCAGAGGAATGCCGGAAGCTACAGAGTTTGTGCCGCCGTGGTGTAGTGGATAGAAGCTCGCCTGTGGATCCCGAAGGTCGTGGATTCAGGTTCTGAGGGAGCGTTGGTTCCTAGTTGACCCAGCCTTCCATGGGTACCAGGTAAAGTCCCGGGAATTAAAGTGGAGAGGCGTGATGTTAACCACATCACCCACCGAGTCGCGGTTGTTCTAAAAACTATCTGTGAAGACATCACACAAGCGATAAAAACCGTGGTGACACAAAGTGCGTTCAGCCTTCAGGCTAAATTGCGGCCCCCGGCAAAAGCAGGGTGGGGCTTATGAATAACGAAAAATTGCGTTCACATGGGGACGACCATAGTTATGAAGGTGTAGAAAATGTTCTTTGCCTATTCTTTATATTATAAAAAAAAAAAAGGAGGGGGGGGGGGAGAGAAGTTGAGTCCTTTTGAGCCAAGTTCTGTCGCTTATGGTAATGACTGTTTTAAATATTTCCCCATCATACTTCCCACGTACCTACCCATTTGTTTGCTCTATTCAGCTCCACTCTCTCCCTGTCTGCTGTATTTCATTTTCCTGACTTTTTGTTTCAGTCTCTGTAGCCTCACATAGTCAAACGTGTCCAACTTTCTTAGCTACCTCTACGCCCTGTTTCCAACCCCCACCTTTTCGTGTCTGGTGTTTCGCGTCTGGCCATCTCATCTATAACTAGTTCATTACCAGATTTTATTTTCTCTAAAAAGGTTAATACCTAAGAGCTTTCTCTCTCTCTCTCTCTCTCTCTCTCTCTCTCTCTCTCTCTCTCTCTCTCTCTCTCTCTCTCTCTCTCTCTCTCTCTCTCTCTCTCTCTCGCTTTCTCTTTCTGTATGTGTATTTTCCTCCAACCAGTTCTCTAACACCTTATGGCAGACATTTTGTATGTTTCATCTATCTATCTATCTATCTATCTATCTATCTATCTATCTATCTATCTATCTATCTATCTATCTATCTATCTATCTATCTATCTATCTATCTATCTATCTATCTATCTATCTATCTATCTATCTATCTATCTATCTATCTATCTATCTGTCTGTCTGTCTGTCTGTCTGTCTGTCTGTCTGTCTGTCTGTCTGTCTGTCTGTCTGTCTGTCTGTCTGTCTGTCTGTCTGTCTGTCTGTCTGTCTGTCTGTCTGTCTGTCTGTCTGTCTGTCTGTCTGTCTGTCTGTCTGTCTGTCTGTCTGTCTGTCTGTCTGTCTGTCTGTCTGTCTGTCTGTCTGTCTGTCTGTCTGTCTGTCTGTCTGTCTGTCTGTCTGTCTGTCTGGCTGGCTGGCTGGCTGGCTGGCTGGCTGGCTGGCTGGCTGGCTGGCTGGCTGGCTGGCTGGCTGGCTGGCTGGCTGGCTGGCTGGCTGGCTGGCTGGCTGGCTGGCTGGCTGGCTGGCTGGCTGGCTGGCTGGCTGGCTGGCTGGCAGTCCGTCCGTCCGTCCGTCCGTCCGTCCGTCCGTCCGTCCGTCCGTCCGTCCGTCCGTCCGTCCGCCCGCCCGCCCGTCTGTCTGTCTGTCTGTCTGTCTGTCTGTCTGTCTGTCTGTCTGTCTGTCTGTCTGTCTGTCTGTATTTTTTAAACCAATCTCTCTCTCCCACCCCCTATGTAAATATACCACCCATCCCTCCACACAACACGACACGATGCCACATTGATCCCTCCACACAACACGGCACAATAACACCTTCATCCCTCCACACAACACGACACAATACCACCTTTATCCTCCACACAACACGACACAATAACACCTTCATCCTCCACACAACACGACACAATATCACCTTCATCCTCCACACAACGCGACACGATGCCACCTTCATCCTTTCACAAAACACGACACAATACCACCTTCATCCTCCACACAACACGACACAATAACACCTTCATCCTCCACACAACACGACACAATAACACCTTCATCCTCCACACAATACGACACAATAACACCTTCATCCTCCACACAACACGACACAATAACACCTTCATCCTCCACACAACATGACACAATACCACCTTCATCCCTCCACACAACACAACACAATACCACCTTCATCCTTTACACAACACGACACAATATCACCTTCATCTCTACACACAACACGACACAATATCACCTTCATCCCTACACACAGCACGACACAATATCACCTTCATCCCTACACACAACACGACACAATATCACCTTCATCTATCACACAACACGACACAATACCACCTTCATCCCTCCAAACAAAACGACACAATACCACCTTCATCCCTTCACACAACACGACACAATACCACCTTCATCCCTTCCTCCACACAACACAACACAATACCACCTTTATCCCTTCACACAACACGATACAATACCACCTTCATCCCTTCACACAACACGATACAATACCACCTTCATCCCTTCACACAACACGACACAATACCACCTTCATCCCTTCCTCCACACAGCACAACACAATACCACCTTCATCCCTTCCTCCACACAGCACAACACAATACCACCTTCATCCCTTCCTCCGCACAGCACAACACAATACCACCTTCATCCCTTCCTCCGCACAACACGACACAATACCACCTTTATCCCTTCCTCCGCACAACACGACACAATACCACCTTTATCCCTTCCTCCGCACAACACGACACAATACCACCTTCATCCCTTCACACAACACGACACAATACCACCTTCATCCCTTCCTCCACACAACACAACACAATACCACCTTTATCCCTTCCTCCGCACAACACGACACAATACCACCTTCATCCCTTCACACAACACGATACAATACCACCTTTATCCCTTCCTCCGCACAACACGACACAGTACCACCTTCATCCCTTCACACAACACGACACAATACCACCTTCATCCTTTACACAACACGACACGATACCACCTTCATCCCTCCACACAACACCACAAAATACCACCTTCATCCCTCCACACAACACCACAAAATACCACCTTCATCCCTCCACACAACACGACACAATACCACCTTCATTCCTTCACACAACAGACACGATACCACCTTCATCCCTACACACAACACGACACAATACCACCTTTATCCCTCCACACAAGACGACACGATACCACCTTTATCCCTCCACACAACACGACACAATACCACCTTCATTCCTTCACACAACAGACACGATACCACCTTCATCCCTCTACACAACACGACACAATACCACCTTCATCCTCTACACAACACGACACAATACCACCTTCATTCCTCCACACAACACGACACAATACCACCTTCATTCCTCTACACAACACGACACAATACCACCTTTATCCCTCCACACAAGACGACACGATACCACCTTTATCCCTACACACAACACGACACAATATCACCTTCATCCCTACACACAACACGACACAGTATCACCTTCATCCCTACACACAGCACGACACAATATCACCTTCATCCCTCTATACAACACGACACAATACCACCTTCATCCCTTCCTTCACACAACACGACACAGTACCACCTTTATCCTTCAAACAACACGACACAATACCACCTTTATCCTTCAAACAA